TTCAGGACTTCCGTAGCTCCCGCCTCTTCCACAATGCCAACCTGCTTTCAGGAAGCCTTACACTCACTTTCCGGTGCATAATGCAGACAGTTGCTCAATTCATCCCAGCTAACTGACTCTTGTTTACTCTTTTAACTATCTCCCTGATGCCATCTTCTGAAAAGTTTGAGGCTTACAGGCAGACTTCAAATCTCTTGCCACTGAGAAGGTTACATAAGCCTGTATAAAGTAACAAAGTAACTCTAGATTTGCAACTTGATGGAAGCAGAACTGTTATCCCCAGTACACTATGTGAACGGATTCATATGCTTGGAGAAGCTTGTAGAGTTAAAGGATTTTTCAAGAAGAAACTAAACTAGATATAAACACAAATCAAAACCCCATGTTGAAAGGAAAGGCCTGTAACACTTAAGAAGAGAGGAAAGGTTTTTTGTGATGATACAGTCATTTAAGTCATTAATGCATATACATGCACACATTTCACTTACATCACTTACATCAGCATTAGTAAAATGCAATTTAATTAGGAAACACATTCCTGTTAGATTCTAAATACAAAAATAATACTTATCTCTTCTGAACAATTTGGAAGACATGAGTAACAGTTTCCTTTGTGTAAACCATGAATGTAAACACACATTCCTAACACTTCAGAACTTTAAGAAGAATGAGCATTCAGATTTCAAAAGATTTTTCAGTTCTGGGTTAATGTGGAGCTTAGTGCTCAATCCCATGGATTTCAACAGTATGAAACTTTGGGAATTAACTGCAGATCCCTGGATAATAATATTTCTTAAGCTTTGTAAAGGATACATGAAATGAAAAGGCATGACAGCTGCATTCCTGCTTGGTTTATGAAACAATGAAGTTGCTACCAGCAGAAGATACATAAGATTTAATGTTATATAACCAAACACAAATGCACATACATGTCAATCACCTGCCAAAAAACATATACCTCTATCAAGAACACAGAAAGAGAGGAGCACCATCACATAATAAAACTTCTATAATCCTTCACATTTCAGTCTATGGCCCCATGATTATAGGACCTGAGTGACTTAGAATGAAGAGAATAAAGCCTATTCTTCCTTTTCCCATTAGTCTGACCAGTAATCTTTCGCAAATCACTTGACTTATCTACATGTCAGCATTTCAATTTCTCAAACTGGTGTAACAACACTTAATTCCTTTATAAATCACCTTGACATCCAGTGATGAAGATAAGCTCTGCTGTAACAAAATGAAACAGTTCTGAGCCATTTAGTAATGTGGTTAACAGAATTCTAAACGTGCAACATTTTGAATTTTTTCAACTTAGGAATAAGCTTAAGAAGTTCAAATATGAATCTTGTGAAGGAAGGGTAGTTATAACAACCAAGGAAAAGATGAAATACTTAAGCCTTTAAGAGCTCACCTCACCACATACACAAAAAAATCCCTAAATACGTTTCTTTGCAAAAAGCAGAAGCAATCCCATGACTTGTACCAAAACTTCTCCACGATCTGATCAGATGAACACCTCCCACCCTTCCCCGTCGTTAAGTACATCTAAGTTTCAAGCTTCAAATGAAGTATATCCCTTGATTTTGAATACTAGACAAAATTACAGGCAAATATGGAAGCTGTACAGAACTAGTTACTGGTTTTTTCTATTTGTTTTTAAATACCGCATTTGGATTCTTCTTCTGCAAACTAAGTTTGGATCTTTCTCCTGACACCTTTTTTAGGAGACTAAAAGCTAAAGACCTAACAAGCTATTAGTCCTTCTCTGTAAGCAATCCAGCAAATCTTTTTGCTTTGGTTTTAAGCCTGCTACTCTAAATGTCCTTTTCATTTATAACTTCCCCACATTTTCTCAGAAGCATCTCAAAGCTCCAAGACTGACCATACCTACCCTCTCCTCTTCTTCAAGGGCTTCTGGTTTCTAACTTTGACTTTGAATAAAACTGTCACTTGGATATCGCACAGATTCATCTCTCAGCTCTTTTACTGGTTCTGTTTTAGTTGTCTGTCTTGTCAGCTGCTAGGTACACTACAGCTTTCATTAATATTTTGGAACATAATGGAATGCTTCAACGAACTCCTTTACCTGGGTAAAGTGCCATTTGTTATGTTTCTGTGGTTCTGACAGCATTCTTTTCAGGTCCAAATTTTGCTTTTATTTATCCCAAATCTCGTTCTTCCCCTGTCTGTAACTTTGCTTTCCACTCTCCCAGAATTCACATCCAAATCTTATTTCCCTTATTCAAGATACCGTTGAAACTTATGTCTTTAAGAAAAAAAAAAAATCTACTATCTACTATACTCATAATTTTAGAAATATAAATAATTTTTTTGCTTAGTCAGTGTCATCCTGGAAAGCAGAAATTTGGCCTTTCCCTTGATATCTTGCAGGGAAAGATCTTTCCATACACTACTAAATTTACGTATCTTCCACTGTCCACTACATTTCAAACCAAAGAAAAATTACCACTACACAGTGCAGATCCACTCATCTGACTCTTCCCAGTTTTATTTATGGGTGTGTTCCAGTATCTTCTTCCTTGCACATCTCTCTGATTTTTCACTTTGTCTCCTAGCACACACAGAAACCTTTTCTACCATCCCTTCTGAAACATTTACTCACTTAAAACCTTGTCTCACTCATCCCTTCTCTTCTAGGTTAACTCACTAGAGAGTTCAGCAAGCATTGAAGACACCACGGGAAAAAGGCAGTGAAATGTGAAACAGCAAATTTTAACACACACATACACACACACACACACACACGTTAAGACAAATACCAGTGCAGATAAAAAACTTGACATTTTTCATGTTTTTATAAACACCATTATAAGATAAGCTCTAGTGGCAAAATACATTCAACTTAGCAAGAAAACACAACTTAAGCAATTGGCTATTGGCCACAGGTTTCCACCCCCTTGTTTTCACTTCAAAATATTTGCTCTAACAAGTGTCAGACTAAGGAAAAGAGGCTACTTAAAAAAGAGAACAAAGACTTCAGGCAGTTACTTGTTTTTTTCTCTCTGCAATGACATTTCCACTCAAAACAAAAAGCTTTACAAATATTCCTTAAATGTACTCCATGTATTTAAGGATAATTTTTTATCATACCTCTGCTACACTCTTTGAAAACGCCTTTACTGAGATTGGTTGCTCTCAGCAGCATAAAAACACCCATGGACCAATGGCAGTTATTTACTGGTGAGAAAAACAGCAGGCATTAACAAGAACTCAGAAGTATCACCTAAGCCTATATTACAGCCACATCTACATTCATCCTTAGCAGACCACACACAACAAAGGACAAGCACTTTTAAGCAGAAGATGAAAAAGTAACAAGCATAAACTAGACTACAGTAGATGTGCCTCCATTTCTAGCAAAGGGCTAGGAAATAAGTATGCAAACTTAATGATATTGAGGCAAACTAGAGGTAGCTGTCACTCAGACACAGCTCATATCCTCCTCACACTCCCAACATACCACTCTGAGTAACTCTTCATTACTTGAATTGTCAACAGGATTTGAACTTAGGGTGCCCTGCCCCTTAACACAAAACATCCCTGGGTGAATACAGGCCAAAGCTTAAGTTAACAAGTGACAGGCAGGTGGCTAAAATGGTTTGACTACTCATAAAACATCTCTCTGCTCCCCAGAAATAAATTCAGCTAGTACTTTTGAGTTCCAAAGCTCTAGAACCCATCTGTAACATTAACCAAGCCATGAAAAGTAGAAAAAAAAAACAACAAAAAAGCAACAGTGGTTAACTACCTAAGACTCAAAGGCCAAATAAAACCTTCATTAATAAAGTACATAAACACTGCTCCCCTTCTCCAAAGACGGGTGACCTAAAAAAGTCTTCTGCAGCCTCTCATGTAATAAAATCTTGAAGGAAGGGATAAGAAAAACTATGCACGTGTAACAGAAGTATAAATAATGTAGTTATCTGCATAGAAGGTAGAAGGTAGTACCTCCACTGGTAAATTTCTGCCAGATTCCAGCTTTGCTTATCAATACTGATAACCCATCATGATTTTCATCTTTTGCTTCTGACCTTCTAAATGGGCCAGAGGAGTAAGACCATGCAAAGGATCATCAGTGAGGTACCACAGAGCTCCTGATAAGCTTAGCTGTGAGATTTCTCAATTAGCCCTCTGGAAAGGAGGGAAGACAGATGAGTCTAGGCTCTTGGATTTATTATTTATCACTGGTCACTTACCAGTGGTGTAACAGACATCTGGTAGTATATTTACATGAAAAGGCTGAAGGCCATATGCACAAGTGAAGTAAAGGCACTACACCCAGTCGATCGACGGTTTACAAGATTTTAGAGCAAACATCACTCGTCAGAAAACACTGGCTTATTAACATCCACCGCTATGAAGGATTTGCATTTTCAAATGCAAACAGCACTAAGACTGTCTGCAGAAAGTAATACTCATACGCTAGGAACAGCCCCTCTCCTTGCTCCTGATGGCAGCAGCAGCAGCTCTGGGCAAGAGCTGCACCAGCTCTTCTCCACCCAGAGAGGGCTGGAGAACCTCAGCTCTTGCCATGGCATTGCCCACAGCAGAAACAGGGACCCACAATCCTTCACTGCTTATTCCTGCACCTGAGCACTGTGGGATGTAAAACCAAGAGTAAGGAGTCAGTGTGAGGAAGATTCCTGTTCGGGGCTCTCAGTAAATCCCATCGTGCTCAGAAGGACTTAACTTCATGTAACAGTGCTTGTCATCCCCATTCATGGAGAACCAAATGGGAAATGACTTCAAAGAAAGTTTGTACATCAGTGTTCACCATACCCAAGTGCTTGAGGACACTGAACACAGCAGAACCCCCATAGAACCCCACTGAACCTTCATAGAACCCAGTCAAACTCCATGGAACCTCCATGGAACCAAACTGCCATGGAACCCAATAGAACACAACAGAACCTGTCACCTGGCAACAGCAGACTGGAAACGCCCAGCAGCCAAGCTGCCAGCACAGGAGGCAAGAGAGGCTCCTCGGCGAGACAGTAGAAAGAGGTGGGTGCTGATCCCATCCTTCGGGTGTTTTAGGAATGACTGAGAACACCTCAATCAGCCTCACCGGAGCTGCTGCTTTGGTCAGTGCTGTGCAAGTGCCGCTGGCTCAGCTGCAACCATGAGCTCTGGTGACTGACACACTGGGACCTGCCTTGACTCTTTTAGAGAGAACAAGGGCCGGTGGGGATGGGACAGGGGGGAATGGCTTTAACCTGCAAGAGGGGAAACTGAGGTGAAACCTGAGGCAGAAGTTCTTCCCTGTGAGGGTGGCGGGACACCAAAACGGGTTGAACGCAGAAGCTGTGGCTGCCCCATCCCTGCACTAGGGGAAGGTGTTCCTGCCCCTTGCTTGGAACTGGATGACCTTTAAGGTCCCTTCCAACCCAAACCATTCCATGATCCCCAACCCCCCAAATCACACCCAAGTCACCCACTGGCAGAGACCTGCTGGTACTTCCTACAGTAATGGACTCACTGAAAAAGGTGACGCTGGATGTACGGACTCCACGATGCAGGATGGGCACAGAAACTAGGAAAACATGGCATTTTCCTGGGCAGCTGGAGTTTTCCAATGCAATCTGAGGAATTTCTAAGCGATTTCAGAATTTACTGGGTTTATTTTGCTTCCAGTACTCAGAGGCCATTCCAAGCTTGTTCTCTAAGTTCTCAGGCACCTCCAAGTTGTTCCACTCCTTTTCTGCCATGAGCAGGGATTTGATGGTTTGTATGGATTTGTTTTGTCTAGGCGTCCTGTGTGAGAAAGAGCCAGAGTGACTGCAAGAACAGCCTTCCTCTTCCTCCTCCAAAGCCACCAGTGATACCATCCAGCTCTTCGGGGCTATAATAGGTACAAAAATTCTCATGCCTGAACTCAATGGGCAGCAGGACGGGAGGGGGATGACAGAACTGTGGTCACACCCTCAGTGGTCAGATCTCCTGAAGCTTCCAAGCACAAAGGGAGCGGATTTGGTGAAATGAGGGAAATTTGGGGTGGCAGCTGGTGATTTCCTGTGGCGAGGAGGTGCCGAAGGCTGAAGGCCCCTCTGGGCAGAAGGACTGGAATACTGAGCAGGTTTTCCTCTCTTCCAGGTGGGATGGACTCCACAGACTCTGGGCTCTGCCTGACAGAAGATCTGACCAGCAATGGGCTGTGAGTGATTGGAACGTACCGGAAACGCTACAAAACTCAGGAAAAGGGGCACTGAGGGAACCACCACTGTGGGGTCTGTGTGTTGTTGTTGCAAGTGTCATGGGCTGTGCACGGCTGTCAGTGTCCCACCGCCACAATGATGTTGCCTCCCAACACCCGGGGACATTGTGCTGCAATCCCAGCTTTGTTCCCCAGCCGGACATTGGAAAAAACATTCCCAGATGTCCTTGTCCATCCAGGATCATGGCCTCAGCTCTTCTTTCCCCGCTCACTCTTACTCTCAAAGTGAAGCTCCTGCCTCTGGTCAGGGTTTCAGGACAGTGATACACCTCTTCACCTCTCACCTTCCTCACCTCCTCTTTCTCCTTACTGCAGGCACATTAACATCGGCGCCCAGTATCAGGCAGAGATCCCAGAGTTTCGGGATCCATCCCACCTGCAAGTGGAGGAGGAAGAGGAGAAAGCATGGCTGGTGTGGGACCCTGCAACACCTGATCGAGGTTTCTTTAACGCTTCTCTTCCAAAGAACCCCCGAGATTTTCCTCCCGTCACCCACTTGTTTGGCCAGAACCTTGACTTTTTGTTCCCACTGTGCTTGCAGTGACTGAGCTCATGAATCTGGCGAGAGCCAGCAACGTGCCGTGCACCAAGATCACATTAGAGCGTGCAATGCACTGCCTGCACGAGGCGCACGGCAATGTCGCGGTAAGAGCAGCTCTTGGAGCGTCGTTAACGCTCTGGGACAGCCTTTGGGTCCCTGGGGCGAGCTGGAGGTGCTCCCAGGTCTCTGCTCCATGCGCTGTAATCTGGGCTCTTGGCTCAAGGGCCCAGTTCTTGTTGCCACAGACACATTAAGTGCTGGTGGAGCATTGACCTGCCTCGGCGTGTGGATCATTCCCACACTTTCCTGCAGCCGAGGACATCCTGGAGCACTGTCACCAAGCGCTCACCGGGCTGAGCAATGTCTTTTTCCACTCACTTTCACAGGAGGCTCTGGAGCTGCTGCGCCAGGGGGTTCCCCAGCCAAGTCAAGACCATCCGCTGGCTGGCTACCATTATGCAGGTAACCTCCATCACGGGGCTCTGGGCTTGCACAGTTGCTCTCAAAAGGAGCAGAGATGTTGATAGGGCAGTGACGACCTGAGCTGACACCTCTCTGGCTGAGGTGATCTCCTCTTTCACACCTTACGGGTCATTTCCAGGTATGGACACGTGGACCCCCCTGGAGCAGCAGCTCTTTGATAAAGCCTTTCAAAAATACAAGACCAATTTCCACCAATTGCAGAAGGAGGTAAAGTCGCTGGATGGATTTGTTGTATGTGTGTGCCTTCAGGGTTGGCCTCCAGCATCACCCTTACAGATTGCTTCTGTTTCGCTCACAACAGATTCCAACTAAGACAGTATCACAGTGTGTTGAATATTATTTTACCTGGAAGAAGAAGAAGAGATTTGGCCACAGAACTCTTCTTATTACCAGAGGAAAGACCATAAGGCTACTACAGGATCTGGAGGAGCCTGAAGAGAAGGTGCTCAGTTATTCCCCACTTGCAACTATGGGGCAGCAAAGGGCAACTCCACTCCCACCACTCAAAATCACCCCAATTTTCTGTTGAGGTGCCTGTTCTCACCATCCCATTAAAGCATTTGGGCTCATTGATGTTTAGAGGATATCACTGGGGAAGGCTCGGGCTGACAGTGGGGTTTGTGCTGGATGTAACACGTTCCCATGTGCCCATGCCCCTCCCAGAGATTTTCCCTTCAGCTCTCCACCTGTTGGGAAGAGAAGGAAAAAGAAGGAATATAGCAACAAACTCTCTCTGGTTTACAGACCGTTTGCAGCCCCAGGAAGAGGCGCCGTGTTCTGCCCTGTGAGAACCTAACACCGAAGAGGCAGAACCGGTGCCAGGCTCCAAGCCAGCCCAGCGGCACCGGTGAGGGGAGTGGATTTTCCTGCCCTGAATGCCACAGGTGACTCTGGATTTAGCTGCTTCTGGAAACGAGCTGATCTGGGCTAAAATGGAGACTTCCTGAGTGGGGAAGCAGAGCTCAGGATTCCCCTCGGCCTTCCCATGCCTTCACAACCACCTTCCACCCCATCCATGTGCTTTGTTTAAACACTGACCTGCCCAAATCACCAGAAACAGAACCTCGGGAGCTTGGCTTTAGGCTGATGGTGGAATTGTCAGTAGGAATCACATATCCCCGTGTGTTTTCTCATTTCCAGGCTCTTTAACACCATCCAGGGCAGGAACTCCCATATGAAGATCCACCGCCGCCAGCAAAAACCACCAGTCCTGGGCTGAGCTCTTCCACCAGCACTACAATACCACTGGAGTGCAGTAGCCATGTTGTAGTTTTAGGTCCCCTCCCATCATTATTTCCCTAGTTGTTCTTGTTGTTATTGTGGTTGATATTGTTGCTGTTATTCTAGTTCTGTTTTACATTATCCTTTAGGAGTTATTATGGTTAGTATTAGTATTCCGTTGTTCTGAGTAACGCTAGGATTTCGATAAACCTTCGTAGGTAGTAGTAGGATAATTGAACGTTAGATTTCATCATTGTTATTAGTATTAGGTTGCCCTCCAATTATTGTTATTTTTCCATTATACATTATTATTATTGGCATTATCAGTACTATGCCATTGCACTGGAGTTATTAAACTGTTCCTTCCTCTCTCAAGCCTTTGGGTTTCCCGTTCTTCCCCTTCTCACAGCGGACAGGGGTTGAGTGAGAGGCAGAGGCTGGCAGTGGCCCTGACACTGAAATCTTCACCCCTGCAACCATGCCACGCACCATTCCCTCTTTCTGTCCAGTCCCTGAGCACTGAAATCAGTCCAGTGGAGTCTCGGCACACCCCAGGGAAAAATAACTCCTCCCCAGTGACAAAGTCTTCGGCTTTAAGAGGGTGAAAAACTGAGAAATGCACCCCAAGATGCATTCACACTGATCAAAGTTGGGTAAAAACCCTCTTGTGAAGCAATGAAACTCAGTGTTGCCAATTACTCCCACTTGCCACCACAACGGTTCTGGACTGCAACTGGGGTCTCCAGTTACACCCAGTTGCTTCCAGAAAGGTTTTCAATTGTCTTTAGGAGTTTCCAGTTACCCCCAGCAGGCTCTTGAGGTGTTCCCAATTACTCCACTTGCCCTCAGGGTCCTTCAGAAGGCTTCCCACTTACTCCCAGTTGCCTCCAACAGGGTTTTGGCTTGCCTTCAGGGGTTCCCAGTAGCCGCCAGCAGCACCCAGAGACTCTCAGGGGGTTCGCAGTTACTCTCAGTCACCCCCACAAAGGTTCTCAGTACATCTGGGACTTCCCAGTTATTCTCAGTTACACCCAGAGGCTCTTGAGGGGGTCCCAGTAGCTCCAAGTTGACCCCCACAGGTTTTGGGTTGCCCTCAGGGCTCACAGTATCCCCCCCAAGGGCTCTCTAGTGTCCTAGGCCTCCAAAGGCTATCTCAGGCATCGCCCATGATGACCACGGGGACAGAGGGCCCATGGGGACATGGTGGGATGCAGGGGGACCATGGAGACACAGGAAGCATAATGACCCAGGGGACACAGGGATCCAAGCACTTGTGTGGTGGCAGAGACTCCGCAAACCGGCTCTGACACTTGGAGCTGTCCCTGCCCCTGCCCTGGGAACGGTGATTCCTGGAACTGCTCAGATCAGACCCTGGCTTTAAGCAGCGTTTGGCTTCAGCATGTTCATTTTCTACACCTTTCCCTGGCTCCTCCTTCAGAAGCAGCCCCTCTCCTTGCTTCTGATGGCATCACAGGCAACAGCGGCTCTGGGTCAGAGCTGCGTCACCTCTTCATCCAGAGAGGGCTGGAGAACCTCGGCTCTTGGCATGTGGTTGCTGCAAGTGTAAACTGCACTATGGACCTCCTAATTACTAAACCTGATTTATCAGAATTTTTGGTAGTTCTGCCTCCTGAGTATGCTTCTGAATATGCGAGAACCTGGTGCCAAGGTTGGTTCCCAGTTAAAGCAAATGGGGTGAGGGGTGTTATGTGGTACTTAAACACAGCTACCTGTAAAAACTAATTAAATCCACTCTCATGCTTTGTTTATCCTATGTTACAAAGGCAAATCTTTGGTTTCAACCATACTTCACGTTCATTTTTCATTAAAAAGGATGTCCAGAAAATCACTACTCAGGCTAGCGAGTTTGCATCATCCATACTTAGGTACAAAACAACCCCCCCAAAACCCAAACATAAGGCTAATACTTCCTGGGGCTGCATTTACATTTTCATAGGTAGAAAACATGATGACCTTGTGTAATTTACAAGGGCCTTTCTAGTCTTCACCTCAGCTTAACGCAGAAATTTTACTGTCCTTAAGCACAGTTCATTCGGGGGGGGGTTTAACAGTTCTTAGAATTACCCAATTTTCTCTTCACAGTATTCCAATTTTTTTGCCTAATTCAGAGGAAGAGCTTTGATACGTAATACACTAGTAATTCCAGCTGGACAAGCCCCACCAGTAGCCTCAGTCACAGTCTAATCACATTACCTCCCCTCTTTACCTTCTTCATCCATCCAGAGTCTCTTGCAGCACTATCTTTACAGGTGGAATTTCTGCAGTGTTAGGTTGCTGTACTGGCTATAACCGGCAGGACTTCAGAGGCAGTATCCCTCAGCCCCAAGCAGAGCAGCCCCTGGTCAAAGTAACAGCAATAAGGCACAAGATGCACTAAAGAGCTTGGCAGCACCCAGCAAACAAAAAGGCAGCAGTCAGAAACTGAGACAAAGTTCCTTTATAAATCACCTTGACATCCAGCGATGAAGATAAGCTTTACTGTAACAAAATGAAAAAGTTCTGAGCCATTTAGTAATGTGTTTAAAGAATTGTAAATGTGTAACATTTTGAATTTTTTCAACTTAGAAAAGAATAAGCTTAGGAAGTTCAAATATATATCTTGCTTTACAAGTTATATATTCTATCCCTGTGATTGATCCAAGACTTTCAGGACATAAAACAATCACCACAGGACCTTTCAGTGCATTTTTTAATGCTAAGACCACTCTAACCTATATAACTTCCACAAAATAAACTATCAAAGAGTTGAGAGCTAACCACAGAACATGAGTCCTTTCCTCTCATTTTAATTCAGAGAAAAACAGGCCATTCTTCTAGCACTGCAGTTATAAGTATGGTATTGTACTTCTTCTGACAGAATTTTTACTTTAGATGGTATTAACTTTTAAGAGTCTCTTTTTCTTGATACATGGAGGTTCTAAAGAAATTGGAGGATTGCAAACCCACCTGTACCTCAATTCTGTCACATGCAGCACAGCAAAAATCTGATTTCCGCTCCTAGACATTCCTATCTTGATTTAAAAAAAATCAGATTGTAGGAGGCTCTCTTCTCCCTTTCAAAAAATAACCTTTGCATGGTTAATATAAAAAAAAATTCCATCTCAACTGTTGCACTGCAGGTCAAACAACCTCTAACCCATCACCTTCCAACTGCTTTCATTTTCAGACAGCGCTGCAAGTTTGACTATAATTTACATCCTTATTAAGCATTCCAGGATAAGGGAATAACTTTTTAAGCTTTGATAGGCCTTTCAAATAATCTAACTCAATATTTGAAAAAACTGATGACCAAAAGAGAGGAAAGATTTTAAGGAGAAAAGGCTCAAGAGACCACTAGATGTTTGCATATGCTGAGAAGTACTGTTCTAATTTTGGTAACATCAGACCTGAAAAGATAAGTACAAATCTACATGGCACACATTATGATAAAATTGAGATTTTTTTAAATAGGTCCAATGATTCACTGCATTCTAAAAGTATGGTAGCTGCAGCTTTTCTACTAGACATGAAATGAGAGGTAAGAAAATCTTCATACACACATCAGTGACCTTTCTGAGGCATTAACTGCATGCAATTGCAAGAAATTGGCTTGTGCTGAACACAGGACCAAAAAGGATTAGATCTACTATGGAGTTCTCTTCTTTTCCTTCTTTTTGCAGACTACCATTACATTTATTAGCAAAATAAAGAGCAGGAAGGTCACACTGTCTTTTCCATTAGAAATACCATGCTTTGCAGAAATAATTCGCAAAAGCTATGTTTAGCAGCTTTCAAATTTCCGGTAGCTGTTACACACATTCAGGGAACATTAGGTGCAAACAAATACATCTAAACTTTAAATTAACAGTCACATTGCTGCCTAGACCATTCATTAAAATAACTTGGATGTTATCAGCAGCTGGCATGCTTCCTCAGTAACACAGCATGTAATATTTTAAGCAAACACTACCTGGAGTTTAGTTCCGGACTCTTATTTAGTATAGTAGGCACTATAGTAATGTTCCAAAAACACAGTAAATGAGTTTGCTGTTGTGTTTTCAGAAATTGACATCTTCAGATTAGTTAACAGGAGATGCTCATAATGGCTTCATACATTTCAGGTTTTTTTTTACATGTATTTGTATATCTATATATCTGTAACTAGATACAGATATACATGCCAACTAGAAAGAATGTAAGATGGAAATGATTTTGTAAGTTATTTTGCTTTATGGAAGTTACCTTAAAATGAATCAGGATTTCAATAAACAATTTAGACTGCACACAATATTATGATAAATGTAATGGCTGAGTTCACTAGAAAACCACCAATTACCCACATCTAAGACACATATTGCTAGATATTTATAGAGCTGTATCCATGCAAAAGTAAAACATAACCTTATACTGCAACACAGATGCTTCACTGCTAACTCAAGCTTGATAAAAAATGACTAACAGAAAGTGATTTTTGTTGTTATACTGATTTTTAGAGAGGACAGCAAATAGCAGGTCCAGATAAGAGTACCTTGCATGTTCTCTCTTTTTCTAAATAGTAAAATATTTTCTGTTAGAATATATTAAATGCTTGGTAAGCAAGCATTTAATGGATATGAAGTGAATGTTTTTGAGCAAAACCCTACAGCATGACATTCAACTGAACATTATGTCGTTTTCTGCTATTACTGAAGAACCACTCTCCCACATCATAATTGTATGAAATCATGGCCCTTTGACCTCTGATACCAGGCATCAGTCAACGCAGCTTTCCGTTTTAAACTACTCATTACAATACCCAAGCCAGTACTACTACTTGGATTCTGAACCATTTCAACAGTTTTCCATCTCACATTCCACACTTACTCCTAATATTGTAAAAGGTTAAGAACCTTAATCCCCAGTGCCCTGCACGTACTGCATTCATTTATTTGTGAGACAAGTGTACGCTTTCCAGTCTCATTACCTGTATTTTCAGTCAGATTTTTTTCATAGGTGTAATTCCTGTGAATGCCAAGGTGCAGAATGGCCTAAGAGTCAACTCAAAGTTCATTCAACAGACTTTCAAAAAAAGCACCTATTTGACATGTAATAATATCTAGAATAAGGT